CACATGTCTAACATCAACCAAGATACATATTTGTTAATTCTTGTGTTCCATTGAATCCTCCCATTGAATTGGTGAAAAAAGTGTCCTTCAAAGACAGTCAACTAACAGTTACTTAAACGTGATTAAAAGAGAAAAACTCACGAATTCAAAAATCAATGAATATTTAAACACTTTGGCGTTTGTTTCACGTTCGTATGAAAAATTTTGTTTACTTTATATTTCACAAAATGTTCATTTTCATAACCTCAAAAATACGCTCTAAACAGTAATGGTTGCTTTCTTTCTTGGACAGTTTGCAACTGACACTTTCACTGTTACGACAACTCGACATTTTACTTAATAAGGGAACACTGATTGGAAGTACAACTTTTGAAGTATAAATTTGTCTGCATTTTGCTATCTTAGCTTTCAGATTGAAAATATGCTCGATATTATACCTAAAATTGATGAACTACCTTCAGAGTCAAGAATAAGTATCATTTTCAACGTACCTTCTTTCAAATGGTCAGTTTTGTGATAATACATGGGTGAATATGCTAAGAATAACGCTTCGGATCACTTCAACAACTCATCCAGAGACCAATTAGTAACCTATAATAAATTAGGTACCCTGCACGGCTACAAAACTCCAAGATTTCYCCCTCAGTCTTTCAGTCTTATTGCGAAATATCATTTATGGCGCCATGTACCCCTCGTGGCATTCCTCGTCTTTCTTATATGCAGGCCTTGAGCAATATCATTTTTATGTCAAATACTTTGWACCATGTGTTGTATTTCTTATGAATTATTTATGTCAGGATGTTTTTAGTTCWTGCAAGTAGGCGATGACCTAAGTGCCATTAACGCCTGGAAGGCGAKGCGTGAATCCCAACCGGCACAGAAGTGGAATTACTCAATCATTTATTGAATTCTTGTAGTCCCAGGACAGAYTTATCAAGCCGCTTTGTAAACCGTTGTTTTTAAGCAATCATGTGTTCGCCTACCCTGCGAACAGAGTGTTATGTACGCCTTACCTCAGTAAAAAATTCGCGAAGGAATATGTTATCATTCTTCGCGAATATTTTACTGAGGTAAGGTATTAATGACACTCTGTTCGCAGGGTAGTATTCGCCCCATTGTGATTTTCAAAATAGAAGCGTTTTTGAGCAAATCTAACCGTTTYTATATGGCCGGGAGTTTGTTTTTTCTTCCCTTCTCGTACGTGCAGGTCATAAAAGTGCTAAGATAAATTCCGTTCAATGTCTGATTGTTCGTACTCAGAGTTTATTATAGTAGAGAAGACACGAAATTCAGGAGTGAAAAAAAGGTAAAACAGTGTCGGGTTATTTTAACTATTTTCTTTCAGAGGACTATATATATTTGACGCACTATATCCGCCCGATTATGTTATATTTCCTAGAAAACATACATACTAAGCTTATTTATACCGTAAGTAGCTTTCATTTAAAGGAGTTTTTCAATATAAATCGTATGTGTTACAAATACTTTTAAAAAATCAAGACTTAATTCACTGACATCACCACAACGTGTGATATCATTTGTTACGGTATATTTCAACAAAAGAAAACAATTCAGTTGAAATCAGACAGAAAAAAAACCAGTCAATGGGTTGTCTTGGTTATGTAATAGTATTTAACATTATCCAAAAAATATATCCTAAATTCATTTCTTTTTTAATTATGCGCTGAATGGCCTAACGCCAACGGCATTACAAGGCTTACAATCAAACATTATTCGATCAGTATTTTTTACGGATGCAGATCAAATCTAAAATTTTGAATTAATTTTCCGCAAATTTTAGACGGAAACAGTCAAGTTCTTTTTATCTTAGAAATCGGTCTTCAAGGTGTTGAGCAAATTTAGTGATAATGACGATGAACAAAAGCACTTGTAATCATTCAAATGATTATTACTCAATTATCAGTATTTGTCAACTTGACATTTTGCAATTGTGTTATACTGTCATTCCCCCCCCCCCCCCCCCCCCCCCCAATAGCATAATGACGTCAAGGACTTTCAAAATTGAGGGGAACAGAGACTCATGGTGGAAAGGAAAAGAAGAACACAGAACAACGTTTCAAAAGACTCTAAATGAATCCCCGTACTTGAAGCCTGTTGATATACAAAAATAGCACCATGTCGCAAATATATTGCTTCAAATTGAAGTGAGGCATATTTCTTTCATGTGCTAAGTTTGTAGAAACTGAAAGCACGACAAAAAAAGTGATTTAAATACATACAGCTGTTTCAGAAAACATTCAATAGTGGAGTCTATTTCAAGACCGAAATGCATTGCTGGTCGTTCTATCGCGATTCATAAKGAGCTTTCGAGGTTTCAGAGTGAATGGCCAGCTTCGTACCGTCAAGAACTTCAATCGAAGCAATTACTACGTAATATACTGTAGTGTGTTTTTACAAAATCCTAGTAACAGAGCTTTCACATGGACATTTTCTTAAAGCTGTTCAACCGACAAGGGCTACTTGGACGAAAATTGCGAAACATTAGAAAAGACTTGGAAATCAAATAGACCTATCCATATGAGTCTAATAATCAGGAAGCAAAGATTTTAAGAAGATATTGATACAAATCCTTAATAATTTGGGCAAAAAATGTTGGAGTGGATGACGTCATTTACTCCATCCTTTTTTTAGTGTTCTTCCATCTTTTGAATCAAAATTTCTCTGATGTGGGACAATTCCAAAACAAATATTATCCCGCAATTGTTTTTAATAGATATATGTGAGTCATATATTTGTATTGCTTGAAGTTTTGAAATAGGACCATTTTCATGCAAGTAGCACTTTAAATGGAGCATTCAGGTATTAATTAAGTTATTTTGGGAACTGCTTACTGACAGAAAATACAAGTAATTAGTGATATGATTCCTCGATTTTATTGATAACAGCTTTGAATGCAAGGGTTTTTTTGGCGTGACAGCTATCTAATCGTTCATATTTTGAAGGAAATACAAAAACTGATCTTACAAGRAAACTGTAGTTTGAGAACTTTCACTTGATATTCAACCCTCACCTTTATTAAAAGTTTACTGAAATAAAAAGAAAATCACTTTTGATGATATGGAATTAATTAATTGCTGCAAATTAATGCATGAAAAATGACAAAAGTGAATAAGGTTTAGTGCTAAAAAAGGATCCTAGATGTGAAGTTACCATCAGAATATTCTCAARCATTTGATATATATGTATGCCGGAGTCACACGTGATGTTTTGCCCCATATTCATTGTAATCAAACATGTTCAAAAATTCACTTTTATTCTGATCGTATTTTTTCAATCAAACGACTAAAGCAGAGATAGCAACCAAGTACGATTAGCTTACTTTAATTATATTGCCTGCTGGGAGTCTGCTACTAAACCAACCATTTTAAATTTGATTATAAAAATATGAAAAAATGAGACYCATTCATTAATTTTATGTGCAGCAGCTCTTCGGCGGACAAAATTTTAKTCTATARAAGYGATAAAGGTTTCTCYATTTTTTAAGATATTGCGATATGAAATTAAGGTCTTTTCCATTCTGTAAGCCTCTTGACCACATCTGAAAATGCCGTCAAGAGTAATAACTATCCTTTTATATCACATTGTCGCCATTTTGGTTTACGGCGTGTCACTGAAACGTACCGAGTACCAACAAAACCCAACCTCCAGATTCTTCCAAAAGATACGAATATTCTTCAAGAAGATACTTAAACTGAGAGCTTTAAGTATCTACTAAGCCTGAAATAACAAGATAACTAGAGTRTACAGTTTGAATATATAGATATTTATGTCTGTATTGGCTACTAATACCGTTGATCCATGGCGGTCGTAAATTTTTTTTAGTATTAGTAGTAAACAAGCCGTATATCGGCTTCTTAGACCGTCAAATTGTCTTCACGAGGTCTAATATCATCTTGGGTATTACGTCTTTTATCCTAATTACAAATTATAAGCAGTCGTGATGGATAAATGTAGTCACAAAAGTCTTCTCATTTSGTATTCACCATGGCGTGGTCCGCGAGACAAAAACAACCGAATATTTGATATTATTCTTTTCTTTGAAATATATCATGGTTTTTATCAATCAAACATTCTTTTATATACAACTGAAACCGTTTATAAGCAAAACAGACGTTTGTCAATGTCAATTATTTCAATAAAAACATTTTTTTATTGATCAGCGACGTATTTTCATCGAAGAAGGGCGTAAACGGTGTACAATAATTTCCAATTTGAAATCATTCGTAGTCGATCCTATGAATTATAAAACTATTTTTTCAAAATATTACTTAGTTTTTTTTTCGTTGCGAGAAAAAAACAACATGAACATACAAATAAGCTCCATTTTTAATGAAGCAGATATATTCTATAGATATACGTTAATGTCTTACCGTAATGTTTGAGTGACTKATTCACCGATCCCTTTGTTCAAATTTTTTTGGCTTTTAGCAGCTTTCAAAATCAGTAGAACAGCTTCCCCAGTCGATCTCCTTGAACTGATCTCTTTGCAGGTGGCAATAATTTTATTATCTGAAAAAAAATCTGCGGTTTTTGGGTTGTCACTTTTCTTGGCAAATAATTGTTCACGAGTATGGCCCTGATAATTGTGATTTTATGAATCTTATAGTGGAGGAATTTTTGTCGTAGATTGGGTCGGGAGGGAGGAAGGATGAGAGGGAGGGAAGAGGAGACGAAGGTAGGAAGTGGAAAATGGGAAATGGAAGAAAGAGGGAGTGACGAAGGAGGGAAATGATGGAGAGAGGGAGGAGGGGCGGAAAGGAGGAGTGAAGGGYGGGCGAAAGGAGGCCTTAAGAAAGGGAAGGGACGRATGGGAGGGAAGGAGAAACGGAGAAAAGGAAAGAAGAATGAGAATACAAAAAACATATGAAGACAGGAATATTGTAATGGAAGGGTAAAAATAGAAGGGTATCGGAAGATAAGAGATAGTGTGGACGAAGAAACGCAAGCGAAACGAAAATCATTGATATCAACTTTTCAAGTTTTTATCAGACCCAAGACAAGGAAAATAACTAGAAGCGTAATTTTCTATTACGCAAAAAAAGAAAAGTGCGTCTAAATCGGAGAAAATCAAAACTAAACCAATACAGAATATTTGCATATTAACTTCATTGTGGTTTGTAGATACGRGAAAAAGTCAAAAATCATTTATTGCTAGTCGATTGCCACTCGTTTATTCTCAGTCACTTTACGCTATTCCGTCCTTAAGTGTTTCAAATAAAAAAATTGAATTTGGTGATTACTTTTTTATTAGAAAAACACACATTGTAACCCAAAAAGTAATTCAACTTATTCAGGCTGAGATAAAACAAAATTAGCACTTTCCATATATCAGATCACTGGATGAGTCATTCGCATGATGGTTCACTGTGGATGACACTTAGCTCTACAAACAGAATTCGGCGGTAAAATTAGTGTTGATTGATGGTTGAAAGGGAATTTTGGTTATAAATATGCACTTCTACTAGCAATATAACAATTAATTCAAAGGATTATCATACTGGATTGACTCGTCTGTGCAAGTGAATTACGTTCCACTGATTTTTATCTCCTAAACTGAATGATATAATTGCAAGAAAAGAAACGTCCKCACGAYWACTGCTGCCAGAGTTGAATCCAAATATATTATTCCAAAAGCTACGAGACGGAGAAATTTTATCAAGTTAATGGTTAATACTCTTGTTGTTGTTGTTTTTGTTTTTTGTTTTTTTGTTTTACTTTCAAACTTCTATTGAGATATAAAAAAGTTGCCCGGCTCTGACGCAAGCATTTTCGTGCACAAAATCCTTTAACTGGTTCTATCGTGATAGACAGAAGATGCCTGGTGATAGGAATGGGTGAGACGTCCGATTACTGATTTAATAATTGCATTTTGGAAAAGTGAGCAGTWTGAATAATTCATCATATATTCCCGTTTATATTCCAATTAGCTTCAATTTTCAAAACTATTAAGAATGTGGGAAGTTGATTCTTCTTTGGTTGTGATGAATCTTACAAAGAGTGTTTTTTAAGATATGAAACGACCGCCATGAATGGGTTGTAATAGTGTTGGTTTTGCATGGYTCGTCTGGTAAAAACAAACAACCAAAAGAAAAAACAAATAAACGGCAAATAAAGTAGATTAACTGCAGCCGTTCATCCATCCTTTATTACTCTTGTAATATATACTAATGTAATTCCTTCCATCGAAAGCATTCAGGTTGATTTATGTAAAAATATCATTGCCAATAATCACTTGTAAGTCAGTGTTATCGGTTCTTATATTTTGTTTTTAGCTGATAGCAAACTGATCTGTCGCCAATTACCGTTTCATTGTCAAATTAGGAGTTATCAGTGATTATCAATTGGAGTGCCTGTTTTTACTGCATGGAACAATAGAAAAAATCATCGACGATAGAGAGGCAACGGAGTTTGGTTTCGTTTTTTTTGTTTTTTTTTTTCATCAACCTTGTCTGTCTCAGAAAACAAGAGTCTAAGACCAGTCGTTTCGTGCAGCGACGCAAATCTTTTCGGGCAAAGAGCATGATGGGAGTATATCTCCGCAATTAATGCRATTTTGTGTTTTCTCTGTAAAAATGCAGATACTAGTTTTGATGTTACTGTAAAGGAAACTCAAAATAAAAAAGAACTAGGAATAAATTTCCCATCAGGCTTTGCTATGGAAAATATGGAAAATGGCGGTTCTCCTGCACATATTGAAAGCCGCGTCAATCCAAATTAAATTAAAAAAAAAGTCTCAATGTCAATAGCATGAACATATAACTAATATAATAGATAAATATTAAAATCAATTTAATTCCATCTTAAAGAAACCATAACTTTCATTGGCAAATCCGCTCTCGTGATTAAATCATGTTAAATCTTTCGCGACAGTTGCTGGTGCTCTTTCCCGCCACCACATCATAAGAAYGACGCGGCCGCACGTTTGCTGGCAATATATGGTTGTAGGAATTTCTAGATCGCGTGTCTTCAGCGTCGTGATATCTCATAAAGTACTAAGACTTAGTACAAAGATCCGGCCAAATGTTCTTGTACTTGCGTCATTAGTGTCCGTATTTGTGTTTTTGTCCAGATCTTGCAAAGAACATGAACAAAATAAACAATCCAAAAACTGGCCAAAATGAACTTTTCCGAAAAACCACGTTATCTACCTCATCATCGCTTTTGGATCATTTTCTTTAAGTTGAAGGAAACAGATAGTTCACTKTAGAAGGATTCTATCTTAGCTGCCCTCCAAGCTCGAGAAAACTAGTTTGAACTTTGTATTATATTGTCAGGATGGTGTTTTTAATGCAAGCAATTTCAATGGTATGAGCTGCTAGTGCAGAAGTAACGAAGTAACGAAGTAATCACGAAATTCTGAAAATCACAATTTTTCAACTTCAAGTATTTGGTAATAAAGTGGACTGGTTGGAAATGCATGTAAATGGAATGAAGCAATTAAAGCTGCAATAGTTCCCATAACCCAGGCAAACGTGAACGTTCACCGAAACACCAGCAAAAGACGGCACGGCATCTTGACACGCTTGGACACATTTTGTTTTATGGTGTTTGGGCGTTGTTGGTTGGCCGAGCATAAAACACACTGGATATACTTTGTAGGCGTTTGGTTTGTTTGATTCYAAAATATTGTGATAGTGTTCAATGATGTGTGATGATGGTATTCGGCTATCAACGATTTCTCGTTTTGCGCGAGCTTAGGGTGCATACCTGCCTTTTGTTATCCTAGTCACAGCTATTATACCTTTGCTGTCCCCTGAAGACAAAACAAAATCGTGTTTTAAACACTTCTTGACGTCACTTATAATTTGCAGTGAATAGCGMTGCAACCACATGGTCTTTTTTCAGYGATTGTCGATTCCTGACTAAGTGCATTTTATCTGATTTCTATCAATAGAAGATACTCGATACTACTTTATCTTATCGCCTCGAAAATAGAAAACATATTGAATGCTATTTAAAACTAACAATTACAGAGTCTTATTTGGAGAGTTCATAAATCCATCCTTTTGACTTTATCATTTTAACTTCATTTAAAGTTGTATAGCAATTTACTTATTTCAGAAATAATATTGCAAAATGGATTGCTTCGGATAATCAACACTACACCACTAGCCCATCCGCAAAATAAACAAACCATTACTTCCCAAACTAAAAACTCAAGTGTCACTACACTGAACTGGCTGCCCACTTAATGAACTATCCATCTTGCTGTTCACTTTTTTAGGTCTTTACAAGAGATTTTCAAGTATTTTAGACAAGCAGATGTGATTATTACAAAGGAGGACAAAGATAATAAATTGCGTCTGACATCACTGTGCTCACGCTAACCAAATATGGCGGACTGGCAGTGTTAACAGGCAAATGGGCTGAAGATTTATCAAACTATCTCTGAATATTTTTAGTGAGAATTCAATTATCTCTGGAGTAAGAATTCAATTATCTCTGGAGTAGAACAGGGAAGGTTTAAGGCAAATGTTTCGTTATGTTCATGAATTCTGCTACCGCGTTGTTTCTGCTGATTGA